ATTCGACGACCGCTTTCGTCGAATTCACCATGGCGCTGCAAAGAACGCCTGCGCCCCAGTGAGGGCGTGGCCTTTCACTTCGACAAAACTAAGAGCGTGTTCCTACACCTCGTATCAGATTCGCGTGGTGAAATGCATTTTAGTATGTTTGACTGCGGTTGGATGCGTTTTAGTGCGGTTCGACGCGAAATTGATACGAGGTTGCCTGATAGGAACACGCTCTAAGGGTACATTCCGCTGTGGACCTGGTCCCAAAGAATGTGTCCGAATCGATTGTGACGCGTACGTACAGCATATGCTGCCAGGTGTCAAAAAGCCAGGCCGCCCGTGGTTGTCGCCAAATGTATTTATCATTGGGTGACGTGAAACGCGGAACAGTCGCCAGCTAATTGCAACACATTCCATCTGTCGCACGCGGTGCCAAATGTCAACTCATGCTGCATGTATCTAGACAACATCTCAAGGAATCCGCAATCCCCATCAACGCGTACACTGCCTCGTAATTGGTCGAGAGGTCTCACACGGAATTATTGATAGGGCCGCGCGCACGTCCTGGCGGTGTTGGTGTATGTGCTGCGCATGGACGAGTGGGCCAGCTTATGATCTGACCAATCACAATCAGTCGCATATAATTGTCGCGTGTCTGTGCAGGGTCGCAATACATCGATCGATTGGGACATGCAGACTCGAGGCATCTGAGGGCGACTCAGCCAAATTGTGATTGGGACTCATTCTTTCGGACCAGGTCCACAGCGGAATATACCCTATTAACGGTGTGCAATATCCGTGAACCTCACTCACATGCACTTCCAGAGACACACACAAGAGAACTTATCCCCCCATGAACAGAACAGGTATGGCCTCTTGCGCGGAACAGGTATGGCCTCATGCACGGAATAGGTATGGCCTCATGCACGGAACATGTATGGCCTCATGCACGGAACAGGTATGGTCTCATGCGCGGAACAGGTATGGCCACATGCACGGAACAGGCCGTCATACCCCGGATAGAAGCGCCCCTGGGGTTGTAATAAAACACTGTTTTTTAGGGGGTGCGCTTATAATTGAGGACCGATATTTATAAGCGCCGGCGTCTATAAAATGGCAAGAATGAAATGTACTTTTTTTTTACATGTAATTGAAGCTTTTTCAAAAGGGGATTCAATCAACATCTGGAACGTTCGAACGCGTGCATGAATTGCGCGTCAAAGGGCCAACAAGGCGTGGAATCACGCCTGCCACGCCTTGCTGGCCTGGCCAGATTCATCGTACATGACTCCGGCCCATGCCAGCGCACACGCTGTAATGTGTGCGACTGCCCAATCAGGGTCGCCTGCCGTGCCAGGCACAATGCAGTAGACCACGAAATGGGCATAATGCGGCAAGATTCCTTGCCACCAAGGCATGGTCCTTGCCACATCTGCTCCTCTGCGGGGTGATCTTGACAGTTACCCCCATTTCCCTGCAGAGGAACTCGGGCCGCGAAGTTGGAGGGGTCTCGGGCGAGGGTTTCAAACAGGCCTCATTCTCATCGTTCTTCTCAGTTTTCTTGTTTTCCCTCGGCCTGCCTCTGGCATGGCGGGCCTTCCAGGCACCCATTTTCTCTTTAACCGCCAATGTGCTGCTGCCAAAACTCCCGAATACTCTCAGTGGCAGAGTCGCCCAGCGCCCATACCTCCTGCTCCTCCTGCGCCTCCTGCTCCTCCTGCGCCTCCTGCTCCTCCAGTGCCTCCTAGTCCTCCCGCTCCGCCGAACGTCGTCATCAACAGTGTGCCCCTTCTGCAGCTACTCCCTCCCGGCTACTCTGCTTTCGACGCCTACGTCTCCGAGCCCGAGCGCAGCGAGGACGATGAAGCCCGCCCCGGTCTGTCGCCACGCTGGGGAGAGCCTGAAGATTGCCCATACGACGAATCCGCCACTGGTGCTGAAGACGACGTTGAGTGGTGGGCGGCCGACGGTCTTCCCGAGGACTTGCCTGTGCCAAGCTTTCCCCCTCCGAATAAAAAACGGCCCCACCCCTCCAAAGCGAATCGTGATGCCCGCCCCCCGTCTCCCCGTAGCAGGCCTTCGAAGCACAAGCGGAACTCCTACACTTCTCAAGAGAAGCTGCAGTGGATTGCACAGCTGGAGTCCGGAGCTGTGAGTGTGAGGAAGATGGCGCGCGACACTGGTATCTCCCGAAAATCCCTGGCAGAGTGGAAGTCGCGGAAGGCGGACCTCGAGGGCGTGCATCGGGCTCGCAAGCGCCTTCACGGGCGTGGGCGCTCGTCGTGGTACCGCGACATGGAGCTCCAGGTGTACTCCCGTGTTCTTGCCGCCAGGAAGAAGTGCCTCGCCGTGTCGATCGGCCGGCTTCAGCAGTGGTCACGAGAGGTGATGAAGGCCCTGCATCCTGAGGTAAAGTGGGCTGGATCTCAGAGGTGGACTGAGCGTTTTCGACGACGCTGGAATCTCACCACCCGAGCGAAGACCCGTGTCGGACAGAAGCTGTCCTCTAGTGAGTCTGTTTTTTTGGTTGCTACACACGTTTTGTTTCTTTAGCTAATGTTCCTGGTTTTCTAATGTGATTCTTTCGACTGTCTCCCATCCGTCCCTTTCAGAGTGCGAATTGCAGGTCCGGAACTTTTGGAAGTTCGTGAGACACACCCGCAGACAGTACGACATCGACCCCTGCTGGATTATTAATGCGGATCAAACGCCACTGTGGCTCGAGATGCCAGCTGAACGCACGGTCGAGGAGGTGGGGACTCGCTCCGTGCCCATCCGTAGCGGCGGCTATCAAAAAGAACGCGTGACGGTGATGCTCGCCTGCACCGCCAGCGGCGAGAAGCTGAAGCCTTGGGTGTTTTTTAAACGCAAGACTATTCCCAAGGGGAACTTTCCTTCCGGTAAGCGGTTTTGTTGCATGTGGTTTTATTTACCTGATGCCTTTTTTAACGTGCGTCTTCTGATGTGCAGATGTCGTTGTTGCCGCACATCCCAACGGATGGATGGATGCGGACGGCGTCCTCGCCTGGCTCGACGGAGCGGTGTGCCCGTACGTCAACCCACGGTTCGGAGTGCGCAGCAGGAAGTCGTTGCTGGTCGTGGACTCCTACCGCGGGCACCTGACTGACCATGTGAAGGAGAAATTCCGGGAGCTGAATATCGTCCCTGCCATCATTCCAGCGGGCTGCACGTCGGAGATCCAGCCTTTGGACGTCGCGGTGAACCGCTCCTTCAAAGCAGCTTTGCAACAACTGTACCAGGAGTGGTTCGAGAGCGCGGGCGTTGACTGCCTGACGGAAAGAGGTGAGCGTTAAATTCCGTGCTGGAGTGGTTTTACATGTTCCTACCCTGTTCTGACTGCTGTAATTTTTACATGTGTGGCAGGCAACATCCGCAAGCCACCACCAGAGCTGACGCTCAAGTGGATCTCCAAGGCTTGGAAGGCGGTGCCGAAAGAGTTAATTGAGCGTGCCTTTCTCACCTATGGCATCAGCAACGCCTTGGACGGGTCCCAGGACAACCTCTGCCTGCAGCACCGCCGGGACGCCGTCAAGGGTGAAGTGGATCTTGACGACGAGATTGCAGCAGATGGATTCTGCTGCAACAACGTAGACGAGCCAGAGTCTGACGGTGAGACCGCCCAGGAGGACACTGGCACTGTTGAGGGCGATGCTGAGGATGAGTAGGAGAGTAGAATTGTTAAATGTTAGAATGTGTAGTGTAGGTAGGATTTTGTACAATTTGTAGCTAATAATGAGGTAAAATATGTACTTTAGAATGAAAATGAAGAGAAGCGTTAGGATAGAAATTGTAACGAACTCTAAATATAATAGATAATCAAATTTGAAAGGGAGGTACATTTAGTGCAGTTAAAGGGGGTGCGCTTATAATCCGTAAGAGTCTAAAGGGTGCGCTTATAATCGAGGACCGGATATAAGCGCCCTCATCCTTTTATAAGCGCCGGCGCTTATCCGAGGCCTGCGCTTCTATCCGGGGTATGACGGTATGGCCTCATGCACATAATAGGTATGACCTCTTGCACGGAACAGGTATGGCCTCGTGCACGGAACATGTATGGGCGTGTTCCTATGGCCCCTTATCAGGCACCTCTTATCAGACTTGCCTGGTAAAATGCGCGAAGGGTTTAGGGTTCGCGCGAATTTCAGTGTGATTTTTTTCCGAGCTTGATAGGAGGCGGCCTGATAGGGGGCCGTATGAACACGCCCTATGGCCTCGTGCATGGAACAGGTATGGCCTCATGCACGGAACAGGTACGGCCTCATTCATGGAACAGGTAGGGCCTCATGCATGGAACAGGTACGGCCCCATTCATGGAACAGGTACAGCCTCATTCGTGGAACAGGTGTGGCGTCATGCATGGAACAGGTACCGTATGACCTCATGCATGACCTAGTACTTTGGCAAGACTGCCCTGATTCTCAAGGGTGAACCAAATCAGAAATTGGGGCCTGATGACCGTATCTGGGGTTTGGCATTGGCAATACCACGTATGGCACATCGAAAATCACCGTCCTAACAGCCAACTTTCACGTCCTTTGTGCTGCTCCACCTTCCCATGGGTAGTGACGCCACCGTGCATCTTCTAACGTGTGTGAGAATCGCAATCTCCCACCCGTCACACCAGTCTTCTCAAACCACTGTCACCACACCGACCTGCCTCCGCATCACAGCAGCAGCTCATTGGGCCATGGCAGGCAGAAGCAGCACTTTGAGCGCTGGTGGATTTCCAGGAAGTAGAGCCTTATGAGGCAGCAGCGGCTCCATTGGGCTGTGGCACGCAGCAGCAGCAGCAGCACTGGCAGCACCGGTGGTTCCCAGGAAGCGGCAACAGTTAAGCGCCTAAGAACCCGACCTGCCTCACACATGATGCATCACAAGAGCAGCTCCAGCGGGCCGTGGCACGCAGCGTTGGCACTGAGAGCGCTGGTGGATTCTGGAAAGTGGCGACTTTTGAGGCACCTCCACCACCGACATGCCTCACACATCACGCATCACAGCAGCAGCTCCAGCGGGCCCTGGCATGCAGCGTTGGTGCTGAGGGCGCTGGTGATCTCCAGGAAGCGGCGGGCGGCAGCATCACGGCAGGCTGGCTGCTCCGCCACGTGGCATAGCAGGGCCTGCAGGTGCCGCACGTCCCTCTCCCGGGCAAGCTCCTGAGGGGAGGGGGGAGATAAGGCGAGGAGGAGGGGATTCTTGAGTTGACTAAGAAAGCATCTTTGGCACATCACTGCCTTCAGGTGACATGAGTCCCTCTCTGAAGCGAGCTCTGGAAGAGGAGGGGGGGGGGGAAGGGAGTGAGGGGGAGCACGAGGGATGCATGGAGGGCGTGTGTGAGGGAACGGGTGAAGAGGAAGATGTGGTACATGTGGGAAGGGGGAGGGGAGAGTGGGGGTTGAAAATGATACATATATCTTTGAAATGACATGTGTGTGGTTCTGACCCGGCCCACACTAAAGGGCTGTGGCTGACAGGGTGGGAGTGACGGGGTGGGACTGGGGGGTGGGACTGGGGGGTGGGACTGGGAGGGTGGGACTGGGGGGGCGGGACTTGGGTTGGCGGGACTGGAGGCACGGGACTGAGGGGGCGGGACTGGGGGGTGGGACTTGGGGGGGCGGGACTGGGGGCGCGGGACTGGGGGGAGCGGGTGGCACTGATACGCATGGTGTGGCCATTGGTTCCTCCAGTAGCGGCAGCACTGCGAACACACTAGCCGGAACTGCTGCATGCAGTGGCGAGCGGCATGGATGGATGGCAGGGTGGGAGTGACGGGGTGGCACTGACCTGCATGGTCTGGAACCCATTGGCTGCTTCCTCCAGCAGTGGCAGCACTGCCGGCACCCTGGCTGGCACCGCTGCACACAGTGGTGGGCGGGAGGGAAGGTTGGCGGCAGTGATGGTGGGCGGCAGCGGTTATCATAAGGTTAGCACGACTCACTACAAGATGACGGAATAGAGATGCACACAAGGAAAAGATCCGTATGGAGGCACGGAGACATGTTTTTGGGAAGTAGAAAGGAAAGCAGTGAGTGGTGAACTCACCAGCAGGAAGGAGCAAGGCGAGGTGGCACAGAGCAATGAGCATGAGGGTGCGGGAGCGCATGGTGAGGCCTGACTGCCCCAGCAGCACCGGCAGGCACACCCCATCCAGCAGCCACAGCGCTTGCACCGCACACTCCCGCCCGCTGCTGCTCTCGCCACCCCCATCATCACCCCCTGGAACGTAACTCTCAGCAGCAGCAGGGCGGCAGGCAGAGGGCGCCAGGGCGAGGGTGGCCTCGGCGGCAGTGAGGGTGGCGGTGGCCTGCAGCAGCAGTGCGTGCAGGCGGGCTGCCAGGGATGCGCATGCCAGCGCGTGTGGGAGGGCCGCTGCTGGTGACCCGGCTTTCTGGGAGCCATGGGCATGGGCAGTGGGGGGTTGAGGAGAAAGGGAAGTGAAATGGCAGCTGGGATGCAGCAGGCCCACAAGGGTAGCCTTTTAAGAACGCTCACTACCGGCAACCCCAGCATATGCCCCACTCCAGCCTGCTTGCCACCTGCGCCCCATGAAGCACAACACTATCACACCTGGACACCAGGTGCTTCATCAGGTGCCTAGTGTCTTGCCAGGTGCCGCGGGTGGCTCACCAGGTGCCTCAGGTGTCTGAGTAGCAACCAGAGGTCTCACCAGGTGCCTCAGGTGTCTCACCAGGTGTAACTCCGCCATGAGCAGCAGGCAGCGTGCATGGTAGAGCTGGCGGTTGTGCCGGCAGCACGCCGTGAACAGCGCCTTGGCTGCTGATGCTGCCTGGGGGAAGGGAGAAAAAGGGGTGATTTGTGATGAGAGTGGGTTGGACAAAATGGGAAGGGGGAGGGTAGAGGGGGGAGAGTAGAGGAGGAAACAATGGAAGGCTGGGAGACGAGAAGGTGAGGATGACAAGAGGGGAAGAAGCCGACGAGCAAGGGCATTTATGGGAAGTGTGGAAGCAAGATTTCAAGGAGGGGAAGATGCAGCATTCGGTGGGCAAGAGTGGCGGGCAGTAGGCAGAGGGAAGAGCAGTGAGGGAGCGGCCTTGGGGACGCCGAGAAGTGCACTTGGGCACCCGGGGGGAGAGATATGGGGTTGGGCAAAGAGAGATGGGATTGGGTGAAGAGAGATGGGGTTGGGCGAAGAAAGATGGGGTTGGGCGAAGAGAGATGGAATTGGGCGAAGAGAGATGGGATTGGGCGAAGAGGGATGGGATTGGGCAAAGAGAGATGGGATTGGGCGAAGAGAGATGGGATTGGGCGAAGAGAGATGGGATTGGGCGAAGAGCGGTGGGATTGGGCGAAGAGAGACAGGCTTTGACACCTGGGGAAAGCGCGAGGCAGCAGTGAGGGTGTGCACGTGGCGGCACGCCGCCTCCAACTCCAAGTCCACCTCTGTGCCACCCTGCCCTCCACCATGCCCTGCGCCATGTTCTTCCCCATGTGCGAGGCCATGGCGTGTGGCAACGGCTGCGAGCTGCTCGCACACATGCAGTGCTTGGGATGTGCGGCCACTGGAGGGAGAGCGAGAGAAGGAAGGAGGGATGGGATGAGGGATCAGGGTGGGGCAGGTGGACGGAAATGGTGGGTAGCAGTTAGGACATACAGTGGTGGGAGGAGAAGAGTGGACAAGAAAAATATGGCGGTTGACATGCAGGGGGCGTTGTGAGGGGCAACAGGTGAGCATCTGCCACACAGTGCACCAGTCATTAGTGCATGTGAACTGGCCTTGTGGGTGGCTTACGTGGCAAGGCAGAGGTCGTGAGTCAGCTCCAGCTCAGCAATGCGGAGGGAGGGCGAGGAGGAGAGCAGCGGATGCTGCTGCAGGCGATGCAGGAGAGGAAGGGCAGCTGGCAGGGAGGGAGGGAGGTGGAAGGGGAAGGGGGGAAGGAGGAAGAGGGGGTTCAGAAGGCAAGGGGTTAAGAAATCATGAATGAGGTTGACTGGGGTGCACTTGTGACACTTCTACACACTGCCCACTACAGCAGGCCAATCACCTCTCTTCACAGACATACACACACACACACGCACACACACACACACACACACACGCACGCACGCACGCACACACGCACGCACGCACACACGCACGCACGCACGCGCGCCCACGCACGCGCACGCACACGCACGCCCACGCACGCCCACGCACGCCCACGCACACCCACGCACACCCACGCATGCCCACGCACGCCCACGCACGCGCACACGCACGCACACGCACACGCGCACGCACACACGCGCACGCACACACACACGCACACACACACGCACACACACACGCACACACACACACACACGCACACAAACACGTACGCGCACTCGCACACACACACACACACACACGCACGCACACACACACACACACACACACACGCACACACATGCGCACGCGCGCGCGCACACACACACACACACACACACGAACCACTACTCTGTTTGTCCCACCCTTACCCTGTTAGACACCAATCCTGAGGCCCACCTGAGGCCCACCCAACGCCCACCCAACGCCCACCTAACGCCCACCTAGCGCCCACGTAAGGCCCACCTGAGCTCCACCTAGGCCCACCTGAGCCCACCTGAGCCCACCTGAACCCACCTGAGCCCATCTGAGACCACGTGAGCCCACCTGAACCCACCTGAGCCCACCTGAGCCCACCTGAGGCCCACCTGAGCCCACCTGAGGCCCACCTGTGGCGCCAGAGTGTGCAGCTGTGTGTCGCAGCAGCTTGACTGCTGATGCTGCTAGGTCGTCCGCTCTGCCAAGAGGCAGAGAGAGTGACATGGAGAGGAGAGGAGGTGTGGGTGCAGCAATTCTGAGGTGCGTCGAATGCCACTCAATCAATAGTACGAAAACAGTGACGAAAATGACTGGAAGCAGTTGGATGGGGGGAAACCAGTGCGTGCGTGCACCGAGAAAGGCAGGAGCATGCATGCTTACGTGGCAGCATCAGAGTAGCAGAGAAGATGAAGTGCTGAGCTGGCAGTGGCCATGGTGGGGCTGACGTGGAGGCATGGGATGAGAGAGGAATAGACAGAGATTGGTATGAGGCACAGTGAACTTGATGAGGACGAATGGTGCATGACAGCAAAAGAACTTGTGTAAGAAAAAGAAAGAACCCACTTCACCCCTGAGCACCATTCACCCCTGAGCAACATTCACCCCTGAGCACCATTCACCCCTGAGCACCATTCACCCCTGAGCACCATTCACCCCTGAGCACCTCTCACCCCTGAGCACCATTCACCCCTGAGCACCATTCACCCCTGAGCACCATTCACCCCTGAGCACCATTCACCCCTGAGCACCATTCACCCCTGAGCACCATTCACCCCTGAGCACCATTCACCCCTGAGCACCATTCACCCCTGAGCACCTCTCACCCCTGAGCACCATTCACCCCTGAGCACCATTCACCCCTGAGCACCATTCACCCCTGAGCACCATTCACCCCTGAGCACCATTCACCCCTGAGCACCATTCACCCCTGAGCACCTCTCACCCCTGAGCACCATTCACCCCTGAGCACCATTCACCCCTGAGCACCATTCACCCCTGAGCACCATTCACCCCTGAGCACCATTCACCCCTGAGCACCATTCACCCCTGAGCACCATTCACCCCTGAGCACCATTCACCCCTGAGCACCATTCACCCCTGAGCACCATTCACCCCTGAGCACCTCTCACCCCTGAGCACCATTCACCCCTGAGCACCATTCACCCCTGAGCACCATTCACCCCTGAGCACCATTCACCCCTGAGCACCATTCACCCCTGAGCACCTCTCACCCCTGAGCACCATTCACCCCTGAGCACCATTCACCCCTGAGCACCATTCACCCCTGAGCACCATTCACCCCTGAGCACCATTCACCCCTGAGCACCTCTCACCCCTGAGCACCATTCACCCCTGAGCACCATTCACCCCTGAGCACCATTCACCCCTGAGCACCTCTCACCCCTGAGCACCATTCACCCCTGAGCACCATTCACCCCTGAGCACCATTCACCCCTGAGCACCATTCACCCCTGAGCACCATTCACCCCTGAGCACCATTCACCCCTGAGCACCATTCACCCCTGAGCACCTCTCACCCCTGAGCACCATTCACCCCTGAGCACCATTCACCCCTGAGCACCATTCACCCCTGAGCACCATTCACCCCTGAGCACCTCTCACCCCTGAGCACCTCTCACCCCTGAGCACCATTCACCCCTGAGCACCATTCACCCCTGAGCACCATTCACCCCTGAGCACCATTCACCCCTGAGCACCATTCACCCCTGAGCACCATTCACCCCTGAGCACCATTCACCCCTGAGCACCATTCACCCCTGAGCACCATTCACCCCTGAGCACCATTCACCCCTGAGCACCTCTCACCCCTGAGCACCATTCACCCCTGAGCACCATTCACCCCTGAGCACCATTCACCCCTGAGCACCATTCACCCCTGAGCACCATTCACCCCTGAGCACCTCTCACCCCTGAGCACCATTCACCCCTGAGCACCATTCACCCCTGAGCACCATTCACCCCTGAGCACCTCTCACCCCTGAGCACCATTCACCCCTGAGCACCATTCACCCCTGAGCACCATTCACCCCTGAGCACCATTCACCCCTGAGCACCATTCACCCCTGAGCACCATTCACCCCTGAGCACCATTCACCCCTGAGCACCATTCACCCCTGAGCACCTCTCACCCCTGAGCACCATTCACCCCTGAGCACCATTCACCCCTGAGCACCATTCACCCCTGAGCACCATTCATCCCTGAGCACCTCTCACCCCTGAGCACCATTCACCCCTGAGCACCATTCACCCCTGAGCACCATTCACCCCTGAGCACCATTCACCCCTGAGCACCATTCACCCCTGAGCACCATTCACCCCTGAGCACCATTCACCCCTGAGCACCTCTCACCCCTGAGCACCATTCACCCCTGAGCACCTCTCACCCCTGAGCACCATTCACCCCTGAGCACCTCTCACCCCTGAGCACCATTCACCCCTGAGCACCATTCACCCCTGAGCACCTCTCACCCCTGAGCACCATTCACCCCTGAGCACCATTCACCCCTGAGCACCATTCACCCCTGAGCACCATTCACCCCTGAGCACCTCTCACCCCTGAGCACCATTCACCCCTGAGCACCATTCACCCCTGAGCACCTCTCACCCCTGAGCACCATTCACCCCTGAGCACCTCTCACCCCTGAGCACCATTCACCCCTGAGCACCTCTCACCCCTGAGCACCATTCACCCCTGAGCACCTCTCACCCTTGAGCACCTCTCACCCCTGAGCACCTCTCACCCCTGAGCACCTCTCACCCCTGAGCACCTCTCACCCCTGAGCACCTCTCACCCCTGAGCACCATTCACCCCTGAGCACCTCTCACCCCTGAGCACCTCTCACCCCTGAGCACCTCTCACCCCTGAGCACCTCTCACCCCTGAGCACCTCTCACCCCTGAGCACCTCTCACCCCTGAGCACCTCTCACCCCTGAGCACCTCTCACCCCTGAGCACCTCTCACCCCTGAGCACCTCTCACCCCTGAGCACCTCTCACCCCTGAGCACCTCTCACCCCTGAGCACCTCTCACCCCTGAGCACCTCTCACCCCTGAGCACCTCTCACCCCTGAGCACCTCTCACCCCTGAGCACCATTCACCCCTGAGCACCTCTCACCCCTGAGCACCTCTCACCCCTGAGCACCTCTCACCCCTGAGCACCTCTCACCCCTGAGCACCTCTCACCCCTGAGCACCTCTCACCCCTGAGCACCTCTCACCCCTGAGCACCTCTCACCCCTGAGCACCTCTCACCCCTGAGCACCTCTCACCCCTGAGCACCTCTCACCCCTGAGCACCTCTCACCCCTGAGCACCTCTCACCCCTGAGCACCTCTCACCCCACGTGCACCACTCACATCCCACACACAACTCATTCCCCCCCTTTTCTCCCCCCCCCCCCCACCACCACCCACCACTCACCAGCCATACACCTCCCATGCAACGGCCCTCACGCCCTGACCCGCCTCCACCAGCCGCACCACAGCAGCCGGCCAGGGACGGGGCCAGCCTTCCCGCCGCTGAAACAGTTGTGTAACTAAAAAACAAACCCCACTCAACCCCAGTGCACCACTCACCCCTCGTGCACCTCTCACCCCACGTGGACCAATTACAACCCACACACACCTCACTCCTATCCCCCCCCCCCACCACCACCCACCACTCACCAGCCATACACCTCCCATGCAGAGGCCCTCACGCCATGCCCCGCCCCCACCAGCCGCACCACAGCAGCCGGGGGTGGCGCCAGCCTCCCCGCCGCTGCTGCCGCCACTGCCGCTGCTGGCGCCGCCGAGCCTGCAGGCTGTGGTCCAGCGAAGGTCTGGCCGGAGCTGAAGAGAGCCGCGGCAGTAGAGGCGGAGGAGAGAGGCGCTGAGAGAGCGAGGCTGGAAGAGAGGCTGAGAGCCGCTGCTGCTGCTGCTGCTGCTGCCACCGCGGAGGAGGAGGAGGCGGAGGCGAGGTGAAGGGAGGGGAGAGAGAGAGGGGCGGAGGGGGGGAAGGCGAAGGGGGAGAGCGCGGAGGGCAGGAGGATGGCGGAGGAGCATGCGTCGTTGAATAGATGTGGCCCCAGACGCAGGTGCTGAAGGGGGTAAGAGGGGGAGACGGGGGAGGGGAAGAGGGAACATGGGATGGGGGGAAGGGGAAGAGGGAACATGGGATGGGGGGAAGGGGAAAAGAGAAAAAGTGAATTGAAGATGGGAGGTGGTCTCACCGCAGCAGCTACAGAGCAAAGCAGCTTGCAGTAGGGGCTCGGCGTCTGGTGAGGTGCACGCCATGGTGAGGTGCACGCAGTATTGCTAGATTGCTCTGCACACGCTATGAGATACGAGCATTAAGCAACCCTAACACTCTCATGCGCCACCAGAGCAACCCTTTTCCTCGTAGCTCTTAGAAATAGTCTACTTTCCCACATTGGTACTTGTGCTGATATCGCAGATTATCTTCAGAGTAAAACTACTTTCCTAGGTTGGTTGTTCCACACAATAACCTCACCAAAGGTGTGATCAGCCAGAATCCCCAGCCCACCAATCAGAGACTTCAGTCAACCGAATAAGGATTGCCCCCAGATCCCTTCCAATCCATTCCTTTATTGAGCCTTGAGCTCCACTGCTTGATCAACCATTCCAGCTAAGGGGTAGCTTTGGTTGCTATGAGACAGCTTAGTGCATTGCAGGGCGCTGAGAGCAGCATGTGTCAGTTCACTGTCCTCCTTGCATGGGCTGGGCAATCGGCAGCAGCACGCAGGAGTGTTGCAAGAAGAGCAGCAGAGGGCAGACGAGAGTAACTTACGTGGCATACAAGGAGAGGAGGGAGAGGAGGGAGAGGAGGGAGAGGAGGGAGAGGAGGGAGGAGTGTGGCCGACAAGGAGAGGAGGGAGTGGCTTACGTGGCAGACAAAGAGAGGAGGGAGTTGCTTACGTGGCAGACCAGAAGCGGGGACGAGGTGAAGTCAGAGGGAGGGAAAGGGAGGTGGTGGCGAGCAGTGCTCTCCCGTCCGTTACGTGCTGGTCAGAGGTGGTGGTGGAAGGGGGTGGAATTGGATGGGGATGGATGGGGAGGAAGGAGGATAACAGGAATTAGGGATGGAGAGGAAAGAATGGCAGAGCAGAGGAAAGAAGGAGCAGATGAGAGAACGTGAGGTCAGAAGAGATATTACCACACCACTGTAGCAACATAAATCTGGCTACCTTGTTTTCTGGATGCTACGTCAACACTAGCCTCTGAACGCTGAACCCCCAAGACTCAGCCAAACGCCCTCAGCCCTGAGTCCTCCAGCAGCCCTCCTCATTACCTCGACACTGTAGCGCGTGAGCAGCAGCTGGATGGCAAAGACGAGGCGTGGCAGTCTCAGCTGGGCGGCACGCACCAGGCAGCGCTGCAGCAGCACACACACCTGCTGCTGCACCCCGCCGCCCACTGCCACCCCTCCTCCCCCCTCCCCGTCCACGCCCCCATGCGCCCCCTCCCCTCCCCCCACCATCCCCTCGCCCCCCACTCGCCCCTTCTTCCCTCCGCTGGCCCCCCCACCGCACCACACTCCCCCCTCCAGCAGTGTTGGCTGCTGCAGCGAGCTGGGGGCTCCCAGCACTGCCAGCTGGCGGGGTGCATCTGACGTGGCAGTCTGTGATAGGAGGTGGCAGATGGTTGTGAGCGCGTGCACCAAGCACACGTCATCACTCTCCTGTGTGGACACGCAGGGATGCGGGGTGACGAATGGGGACGGAGAGGGAGGAAGGGAAGAGGGAATGAGGAGAGTGCATGGGGGGGATGGACAAGGTGGATAAGTGCTCAGGGTTTGGTTCAATCTATCCTTTGTGATATGCACTTTTATATTGAAAGTGATGTACCGACATAGTATGTGATAAGAACGGAGGTCTGATGACAACAAGGAATGAAGTTATGCTTGTTTGGAGCCTGTGCAAACTCGGCGGGTTCGACGCGGTGCGGTGCAGGCACTGTGACTCGATCCGTCAGAAGGACTGAGAAACAAAGTTAGTTACTCAGTTTGGTAATACTGTGCTCACATCTACCGTCATACCATTCAAAAAGAAGGTTCTCTGTTCCAATTTATGCATGCCTGCGCCTCACCTGCTGTGCCATGCCTGCAACTCACCTGCTGTGCCATGTGAACTGTCTCGATCAGGGCCTGGCATGGTAGGGTGCAGGGGCCATGTGGATGGGGGCGGAAGAGGAAATAGGGTGAGGATTAGAGTAGGAGGTGGAAGCAGGCGAGAATAAGAGCGAGGAGAGAGAATTCTCCATGGACCAGGAAGGAGCTATTGAGGCATGGCATACTGTCATGCCATGCCGCATGTGCCACACACTCTGCCACGCCATGCCGCATCGCATGTGCCACACACTCTGCCATGCCAAGCCGCATGTGTCACACACGCATGCCTCATGGCGTGCTGCATTGCGTGCACCAGACACAGACACACATACCCCCATGGCATGCTGCACACACCACATACTCAAACACACATACCCCCATGGCATGCTGCACACACCACATACTCAAACACACATAACCCATGGCATGCTGCACACACCACATACTCAAACACACATAACCCATGGCATGCTGCACACACCACATACACAAACACACATAACCCATGGCATGCTGCACACACCACATACACAAACACACATAACCCATGGCATGCTGCACACACCACATACACAAACACACATAACCCATGGCATGCTGCACACACCACATACACAAACACACATAACCCATGGCATGCTGCACACACCACATACACAAACACACATAACCCATGGCATGCTGCACACACCACATACACAAACACACATAACCCATGGCATGCTGCACACGCCACATACACAAACACACATAACCCATGGCATGCTGCACACACCACATACACAAACACACATAACCCATGGCATGCTGCACACACCACATACACAAACACACATAACCCCATGACATGCTGCACACACCACATACACAAACACACATAACCCATGGCATGCTGCACACACCACATACACAAACACACATAACCCATGGCATGCTGCACACACCACATACACAAACACACATAACCCATGGCATGCTGCACACACCACATACACAAACACACATAACCCATGGCATGCTGCACACACCACATACACAAACACACATACCCCCATGACATGCTGCACACACCACATACACAAACACACATACCCCCATGACATGCTGCATGCAGCACACACCCACACATACCCCCATGGCATGCTGCATGTGGCCATATCGCGCATGCATGCCGCCCTCCACCAGCAGCCCTGCCTGGAATCGCCCCGCCCACCAGTCCGATGCTGCCCGCCCACCCACCGCTGCCATGCCCGCACTGCGAGGTGAGGGGGAGAGGAGAGAAGGGTGAGGGGTGACCGTTGGAGGGTGGGGGAATGGGAAATGGGGCAGGGGAGTCGGGGAAGAGGGGGTAGGTGACCCATCTCCACCTCACCTCCTCACAAGTGATTCTTTTCAAGTTCCTACAATTTCACCAGTTCTGTGTACGAGGGTTCTGAGAATATCCATTTGGGTGTATAAATGTGCTTGCAGGTTAAGAAAGAGCTGCGAGAGTAGGTCACCTCTCTCTTAACCTCCAAGCGCGCATGCCAACGTAAGAAAGAGTGGGGCAGCTGGTGCGTGATTGGCATGCATGCAACCAGTCTCGCGAGACACTTGGGAGATGCCGGGCAGTTCCCACTCTGTTATTTATAAGTGCTCGTGTGAGTTGTGCAGTGTGGAAATGTACGTTCGTTACATAAAAGAATAAAACTGATTAAAGGAATGAAAAATACAAGAAAAATAATAAACCCTTTCACGATCAGTGGAAGGAGCAATAAGCACTCAGGAATTGGAAAAATGATCGGGAAGAAAAGGTGCTGTAAAGAAAGTGGTCTAAATGTCAGACACCGCCCTAGGCCTGCGACTAACCTGCTGCGGCCCAGCCTTTATGGCACATATCCGGCTGACCTTCGTCACAGACATCTGTGACTCCGGCTTGAGATGAACTGGCCCACACTCGATCCTCTTAGGCGGTGTGCTGCACGAGTTGGACTCTGGCTGGCATGCATTGGGTTCTTGCAAGTGTCTGACTAATTCCCTCACTCCCTACTCAAACTGCTCCCAAGACTCTGTGCAGAGAATAGAAGCCTTTAGCGCAAGGCATGCATAGATTCCATGAATGCGCCTGCCGCACTGCATGCATCACAATCCCCTCCTAGCCCCCCTGGCACCTGTAGTCAAAGTAGCGATGCAGTGAGGAGAGGGAGTTGGAGAGATTGCGCGAGGAGAGCGACTCGTGATGCTGCCACAGATGCACCTGATGCCATGCATGCATGCATGCCATGCCGTGATGCCATGCCATGCCATGCCATGCCATGCCATGCCATGCCATGCCATGCCATGCCATGCCATGCCACGCCATGCCATGCCATGCCATGCCATGCCACGCCATGCCATGCCACGCCATGCCATGCCACGCCATGCCATGCCATGCCATGCCATGCAGGAAGTGGTTGGGGGACGAAGGGGATCAAAACTTGAACATAGATTGGGCAGCGGATAAGGGGGTCTTGATGCAAAGGTGTCACATACAACCGAACAATATGCCTCAGCCATGCATTCAATTCAGCCTGCCATTCACACACAACCTGCCATGCATGCTGCGACCACGCACCTTGGGCGGCAGGTCATGTGCATGAGCCAATGCGCCCTGGTCGTCCGCATGTGCATCATCCACAGCGCCGCCACTCCCCTCGCATTCCCCTCCTTGCTCGGTCCTTGGGCCCGCTCCTGCTGCCCCCGGCCTGTTGCACCCAACAGACCGAGGAGAGAGGGATGGTGCAAGTGACACGAGGGCAAGAGGGGGCAGAAGTGAGTGGGAGGGAGACGGAACAAGTAGTAAGCTCTGGTCTCTAGCAAAGCGAAAGTCTACCCTCACCTGCTTGCCTCCTCCATCCGTCCATCACGGTACTCCGCCAGCCGCTCCGCCATTGTAACGAAGTGACTTGTGAGTCAACTCAAAAGTCACCTTGCTCCTTCTAGCCTCACCTTGCTCCTTCTAGCCTCACCTTGCTCCTTCTAGCCTCACCTTGCTCCTTCTAGCCTCACCTTGCTCCTTCTAGCCTCACCTTGCTCCTTCTAGCCTCACCTTGCTCCTTCTAGCCTCACCTGCTCGCTCCCGATTCTCAACCCCTCCCTTCCTCTATCCTCACCTGCTAGCCTCCTCTATCCTCACCTGCTAGCCTCCTCTATCCTCACCTGCTAGCCTCCTCTATCCTCACCTGCTAGCCTCCTCTATCCTCACCTGCTAGCCTCCTCTATCCTCACCTGCTAGCCTCCTCTATCCTCACCTGCTAGCCTCCTCTATCCTCACCTGCTAGCCTCCTCTATCCTCACCTGATAGCCTCCTCTATCCTCACCTGCTAGCCTCCTCTATCCTCACCTGCTAGCCTCCTCTATCCTGCAGTCAAGGTACTCTGCCAGCCGCCCTGCTTCCCGCAGAAACTGCTTCTGCATGCCGCTGCCTCCCCTCTGCTTCCGCCTCCCTCTTCCCTGCCCCTCTCCCCTCCCCCGCCCCTCCTCCCCTGCGTCGCCCTCCATCCCCACCATCCCCACCATCCCCACCATCCCTCCACTGCTCCTTCTCCCCACTCCTCCCCCCCACAATCCCCCATCATCGCCCCCAGCTTGCATCAGCGCATCATCCCCCTGCCCTGCCCCTCTCCCCCCTCTCCCCCCTCGCCCCAGCACTTCGCGCTCAAACTCCTCCTCCCATGCTGCCCTGCCCTCCCCCACCCCCCCTACCGCCCCTGCCCTTGCTGCTCGCCCGCCCCTTCCACCATCCCACGCCAGCCCCCCTGCTGCTTCCCTGCTGCTCTCACGCGTGCCCTCATAGGTCGTTCTTCTGCGGTGCGTGACTGTATCAAAGGCCAGTGGTTCCCCTCCCTCTAAGCCCATGCCTGCACCCCCATCCACCCCCACGTCTATGTCCATTTCCTCCCCCCCATCATCCCCCCTCTCCTCCCCTGACCCCCACTCCCCATGTGATGCCTCCCCTGTGCTCTCCCGCCTGCCCGCCGCCTGCTCATCCATGCCCTCCGTGCTGCCCGTGCTGGCACAGCAGCCCGCGTGGTTGAGGTACTCGTGGATGTCGCCCAGCACATCACACACCGCCTGCCATGTGCCATGTGTGCCACGCATGTCATATGTGTGCCATGGGCCATGTGCCAATGGCCATGTGCCAACGGCCATGTGGCATGTGGCATGTGGCATGTGCCATGCCATGGGCCATGTGAGATGCATGCCATGTGCAAAGGAAGAGTAGTGGTCAAATCATGTGCATTTGAGGAATGCAATGCCGTCGATATGTGCACGTGTACATGTGCACATATGCGCATGTGTGCATGTGTGCACGCGTGTATGTGCGCATGTGTGCATGTGCGCATGTGTGCATGTGCGCATGTGTGCATGTGCGCATGTGTGCATGTGCATGTGTGCATGTGTGCATGTGCGCATGTGTGCATGTGCGCATGTGTGCATGGGTGCACCTGGAAGGGCAGGTGGTGGAAGGAGAGCAGCAGCGAGCGCAGGAAGAGGCCGAGAGCACTGCCACGCGTAACAGGCTGGCAGGCCGGCGACGCTGCTGCTGCTGCTGCCCGGTGGCGCGGCGGGGAGGTGCTGCGCGCCACACACGCTGTAGCACGGTAGGGAGGGGGACAGGTGCGGCGTGTGGGAGCAGTATGCAGGTATGGGAGGTGACGATCCGTAGGGTGGGATGCAAGGGAAGGAGGAAAGATGGAGCGGATGTGAGAAGGAGAGGAAGAGTGGACTGACAGTGCAGGGAGGCGAAGAGGGAGAAGAGATCATCTGGGGATTGCAGCGCCTGCAGCTGCCGCACCGCCACCCTCCCCACGTCACTCCACCCCTCCTCCCCTTCCTTCCCTTCCTCCGCTCCCTCTGCCGCCCCCTCAACTCGTGCCCCTGCACCCCTGCCCCGCCCTCCCCCACCTCCTCCCCGTTCCCTGTCTGCCTCCGCCTCTCCCCCAGCCGTTCCCCCCCCCACCTCCGCTGTCAGTCGCAGCAGCAGCGCGCTCAGAGGAGGCTCGTACCACGAGTGCACCGCCTGGGTGGTGTGCGACGATGAGGGGTGATACGGGGTGATGGGGAGTAAAGGGGGTGGTTGTGAGGGGTGATGAGGGATGGAGTGGGGGGACGTACGTCAAGGGGAGACAAATCGCAGGGAGAATGGGGCGAAGAAGGGCGAGGAGCAACGGTGCTTCTGGCAGCAGTGGTGGAGGCGAGTAGGATGGGTGTGGCAAGGGGCGGTGGGCGAGGCGAGGGGAGTAAGGCAATGATGGGGAGGGGGAGGGGGGCGTTATGCAGGACATCACAGGGGGAGGGGGGCGTTGTGCAGGACACCACAGGGGGAGCAGACAGCAAGGGAGTGGAGGGGCCGAGGATGACAGTAAGCTGAATCATTTCTCCCTCCCTCCCATTCCTCTTTGCACGCTGCTATCTCGTGCCTGCCTGTCATTTTCTCTTCCCTCACCATCTGCCACCGCACTGCACCATTCCCAACACCACTGAATCTCTGCACTCCCTTCTGTTCTGCCTCCTCCCCACCACTGTACACTCTTCCCATCGGCCCATTCCCACCCACTGCGCTGCCACTGCTACGCGCATCGGCCTGCTAACCCTGAAGCTACCGCCGGCCACAGCACAGCAACTTGCCCACAACGCATCTCTCAGATTTCCCCTTCCCGCTCCCTCCTCCCCCCACCACCCAGCAGCGCACCATTTTTCCCCATCAGCGCACCTCTTCCCCCCGAGCGCCTCACCCTGGTCTCGCGGAGCAGGAAGAGCGCAAGCCGCTGCCGCGCGCGGCGGGGCGGCGGGGAGGGCGGGGCGGCACGCGCGGGGGGGTCGTCGGGCAGCGCGGGCGCGGCGGAGTGCGGCGGGCCCGCGAGGAGGCGCAGCAGCAGCGCGAGCGCCACTCGGTGTGGCGTCACGCTCGCCGCGGACGTCGCGACGGCGGGGGACGCGTCGCGAGGTGGTGCGGTGGACGGCATGGTGACAATTGGACCAGACAAGCACGTCGCCGTGCGCCGCGTGGGTGGCTTGTTGCGAAGGAATGTCGCTTTGATGCGGGCAGAACTTGCTGCGACGAAGGCGCTATCGTGACATGAGGGATGCGAAATCTGATTGACGCACGAAATTCGAACGAGTGGTTCAACTATAGTTTGCCTGTCTTGCTTGCTCCTAAAAAAATCCAACGACCATACCCGCGATCTCTTCGAAGGTTCATCGCGCCACACTGCCAATTAGCGAATGAAGTGGTTTTTTATGGGTTGCGAAGCAACCTATTGCGATCGATTTTGCCAGTTTATTTTTTTCCACATTTTATATTTATTTAAAATAAAATGTGGAAAAAAAATCAGGATGCACTAATATGTAGGAGATCCTGTCTAGTTCAATTATATTAATATACTAAGGCTGCATTATATACTCATAGACTAGCAGATCAACGAATTAGGAGTCGTATAGTAAACATATTAATATGGTGGTAGTAATTGTTCGTGTGATTTATTATGTTGTGATGTAACACCGGACAATATGCACACAAGGTAAAGAGATCAATATAATGATTGGTAAATGAAGATGAACATAATAATATTATATGAAATATAATATTTTATGTAATATATGATATGATAAATGCAAACATATGCCATGAGTTCGATATAAATAACGATTATTATGAACAATTCATGATGCATATTTATAATAATGTAAATAAGTGAAAGCTAACGATCCAAAAACTATGCTATCGCATCCCCTGCCTAGCATGGGGGGGAGCTAATAGCATAATCCTTGAACAATCAGCAGTCACATGAAACAACACAATCTGTGAACTCTAAAAAGATGGCCAAGTCTATCATCTCCAGCTCAAGTGGGCTCCCGACAGGCGCGCCAATGAACCTTCTAATGAAATGATAAACCGGATTCACCTTTTTAAAACCCACAGACATGCATTGTTATTGCAATGATAATATGGGTAATGAAAATGGATAAATGCACACATACAAATACACACACACACATACATATACACATACACATACGCATACATACACATATGTAAGTACACACCCCCATAAACATACTCAAGAAGTCAATCGCTTGCACAACGACAAACATACCCGGCATAACATGTGAAAGAACGAGGAATGGAATGACTAGCGAGAATGGGAGTACAAATATGAAACCCTAGAATTGTGTACCCCCTAAGGCTAAACCCACTGTAGCCTACAAAGCTACAACATATACAATGTTTGACACACCCCCATAGGCAAAGTGGGGGACAACAAGGGGTCACAAGACCAGTCAAGCAAAGCAAAGCAAGCTCAGGGTGGATCTCAATGTCACCACACAGTCTGAGCACAAGTTCAAGGCCACAAGGCCAGTTCACATGCAAGATTACATATATATAATGCTAAACAAGCAAGAGCAAGCAGATATATATGTAACAGTACAAGCAAGGTCAAGAAGTGAGCAAGTGAGGCAAGGTAGGCACAAGACCTAACTGAGTACAGAAGCGCTGATGATCACAAGGCGCGAGTGCCTTAGTGAAGATATCAGCAGTGTTGGCCTGAGAGGCCACGTAAGCAAGGCGCAGCTGACCACGCTGCTGCAGCTCACGAGCAAGGAAGTAGCGAAGAGCAATGTGCTTCGTTCTGTGCTCCAGTCTGTGCTCCCGACACAAGGCCAGCATGGCCTTGTTGTCTACGTACAGCACTGGAGGAGAACGAGGCGGCTCTCCCAGGTCAGTCAGCAGGTAGGTGAGCCAGCGTAGCTCCTGTGCAGCCATGGCCCCTGCGTAGATCTCAGCCTCACAACTGGAGCCGAGAACAGAAGACGAGCGGGTAGACCGCCACGAAACAGAGCCGGAACCAAGGCTGAAAGTGTAACCCTGTGACAACCGCTGCGTAGCCTGGTCGTCAGCCCAAGAAGCGTCTGCGTGCCCAGTGAGGACCACTGGACTATGCCCTCCAAGCACAAGCTCCATGCCCGACGTACTGCACAAGTAGCGCAACACCCTCTTCGCTGCAGCCATGTGCTCTGGTCTGTGTCTCCCAGGAGCAACATAGCGTGCAAGAATGCTAAGAGGGTATGCAAGGTCAGGTCGAGTGCAGGACATCAGGTACATGAGGCAGCCAACAAGCTCTGGGTACGGGCCACTCGACTCTACGGACTCATCCGAAGGCAGAGCTGAGAGCGAGTGGCGCGTAGACAGAGGAGTGGCCTGAGGCGAGGAGTACGTGAAGCCGAAGCGCTGAAGGACCTGCTGCACCATGTGTGACTGGGTCAGGGTAATGGTGCGGCGTGCTCTGTCCCGGGTGATCTGCAAGCCAAGGTAGCTGCGCAGTTCACCCAGGTCTGTGCACGTGTGTCTCTTCTGCAGCTCGGACTTCACGTAGGCGAGTCCAGCAGTGTCAGCTGTAGCAAAGACCAAGTCGTCGACGTACACGAGGATGTAAAACGGCGGCAAAGAAGTGTCAGTGCGCAGAAACAGTGACGGGTCGGCAGTAGAAGGAGCAAACCCAAGAGCCGCAAGTGTAGTCCTCAGTGTGTCGTGCCACTCACGAGGTGCCTGGCGGAGACCGTAGACTGGTCGCCGGAGGCTCCACTGGGTGCCAGGAGGAAAAGTCCCAGTGAAGCCAGGTGGGCGGCGCAGCCAGATCTCCTCGTGCAGGCTGCCCTGCAAGAAGGCAGTGCTGAAGTCCAGAGAGTGCAGCTCGTAGTCTCGGTGAGCGGCTATGTGCAGCAGTACCCGAAGAGTGGTCATCTTCGGGGTGGGAGAGAAGGTCTGAAAGTAGTCAACTCCCTGCCGCTGACTGAAGCCACGAGCCACGTAACGCGCCTTGAAGACAGGCGGAGAACCCGGCAGCCGCTTCACCCTGAAAATCCATATGCCACTGACGATGTTCGCCCTAGGTGGGGGAACCTCGTCAACGTAGGTGCCTGTGGACTTCCAGGAAGCCATCTCTGCGTCCATGGCTGCCTGCCACTGAGAGGAGTAGGGACCCTCTATTGCCTCTGCGTAAGAGCACGGAGTCGGGATGTCAAGTGCATCCGGGTCTCCCTCAGGGGCAAGCAGCACGGACACGAGATGAGGTGAAGCAGCAGCCAAGCACTGGAACTCCTCCTGCCTGTCCTCAAGGATGTCCGTGCCAAGAGCACACACACCCCCGACGGACGGAGGACAGACAGACTCAGACTCAGCGACGAGACTGGCAGCGTAGTCAAGGCGACAGCGAGCAGCGAAGTCGACAAGCTCAGCAACTAGGGCAGACGCAGCAGTAGACTCAAAGGAAGGGTCAGTGACGACAGTAGCAAGGAGACGCGTGACAGTAGGACGCGCAGCACGAAGGGAGTCCGACTCCGGGTCAGGAAGCGCAGGAAGAGAGGACTCGGGAGGAGAAGGCAAAGGGGCACGCAGTGGAGCAGTGGAAGGACGCAGAGTCATCCGGTGCGTGCCGGGGACAGGGGGAGGACGCTGACGCGAACCACGACCACTAGTGCGAGCAGCACGGACAGGCGACGCAGGGCGAGACGCAGGCTCACGACGCTCAGCAAGACCTCCAGTAGGACCAGTGTAGGGAGAGGGAGAAGGAAGCGGGGAGGCTGGCTGTAACTGTGACTCAGACTGGACAGGAGGCGGACACTCGAAGCGAGGAGCAGGACCAAGAGAGGACGGAAGACCAAGAACCTGCTCAAGGAGCGGAACGAAGTACGGCCGGGGCCGCGCAGCGCCACCAGCGCCAGCAGGAACAGCACCAGCACCACCAACGGCAGCACCAGCACCAGGAGTACCCCCAGCTCCAGCAGCGCCAACTCCAGCACCCCCAGAAGCACCAGCGCCAGCAGCACCTCCAATGCCAGCACCCTCAGGAGCTCCAGCTCCACTCAGACCACCAGAAGACACAGCAGCTCCAGCTCCAGGAGCACCAGCAGCACCAGCGTCAGCAGCACCAGTAGGCCCAGCAGCTCCAGTACACCCTGTACGAGCACCTCCGGGACCCGCTGCACCAGCACCCTCAGCAGCAGCAGAACCTCCAGTGTCTGCAGCAGCGCCAGCTCCAGCAGCACGCCTCCAGCGCCGGGCAAACCACTCACGCAGCTCCTGTGGAGAGAGTAGCTCACGCCGCGCCGAAGCACCCGAAGAACCTCCAGGCTCAGCATCCTCAGGCGCCGGACTCCGAGACACAGCGCCCTCAGGCTCAGCACCCCCAGGCGCAGCACCCCCAGGCTCAGCACCCCCAGGCGTAGCACCTCCAGGCTTAGCACCCCTAGGCTCAGCACCCCCAGGCTCAGCACCCCCAGACCCAGCACCCCCAGACGCAGCACCCCTAGCAGCACCAGAGTCAACAGCTACCTCGACAGGCTCGACCGCATCTACCTGGGACACACCTGAGGGG